CCAATTGTGGGGTGTGTTAATTGGCAAGTGATTCAAATGGATTTTCAATTCTCAGCATTTTTCTATCCTAAACAAATTAAATCAGAAGAAAGTACTGTATATTGGTAAAATATGGGTAGTTTGTAATATGATTCTGTGTAATTTCCAGTTTGCTTAAAATATTTCATAATTTAAAAATCCCTAAGTCAAACAATGGTAGGTATTGTGGATAGCTCTGAATTACAAGTTTAAGTTTAATTATTACTCTAGGTAATGAGAAACCATGGGAAAACCTAAAAGGGGGAATTATATGTTTCAAGCTGAAATTCAGGAAAATTACTCTGGCAAAACTACAAGAATAATCAGGCAGTCAGCAAGCAAAAAGAACCACTGGGAAGTCCCATCACTACTTGAACCTAAAGTTATAGAAGCAGAAGTTCACGGGAAAGAGACCACAGATGACATTCCCAGGAAGCACCAATAAGATGTGGACTTTGTTTGTTTGTAGTGCCTCAGAGAAAGGCAAGACCCAGTATTGCCTCTGAGATCTGATACTGAATCATTTTTAAATGAGCAGCAGTGCTAATAGAAACATCTACTTGCATATGTTCCTATGGGACAAAGTGGCTAGTTTGGGAAGAAGAATAGGATGTACTATTTGGACTCATTCATTGGCTTAGAGTGCACTAAGGTACAAGCAGGAAATGTTTCCTAGAAAGTTGGGCATGTACATTGGGAGAATAGAAGTGAAATGAAAATTTAAAATATCTACTTTATAGAAATCTTTGGAGAAGTATGAATAAAACTGCAGGGCTTAGGAACAAATAAGGATTGTAAGGGAGAGGGAATATGATTTTAAGAAATAGCCCATTGGGAAAACTCTGGCAATGGTGGGTGGGTATTGGGAGAGCAGGAGGAGGAGGGAAGTCAGTGAAAGACACAGTGGGAACAGAGGGCAAGGCACAGTGAAGGTATCCTTGCCCCCCTCCTACGTACATGTATGTGACAGCTGATGTTAGAAGCACATGGTTTATTTAGGGCTGGAAATTGGTAAGATATATATATATATATACCCACACACACACACACACACACACACACATATATATATATATACCAGAGGTGCTTCTGGTATCGGACACAAATTAAAATGACATTTTAAAAAACTGGCAGAGAAGAGCTAGTCTGGCACAGATGAGGAGGTCAACACCCCAGGTGAGGAAGCATGGTGGCCTGGTGCCTCCAAGCAGGTGCCACCACGGCAGGATCACCCTGGCAACCTCCACTCTGGTTCCCCTGGCTTCAGGCACATCAACCCATGCATGTCATTGTGTCAGGCTAATAAGTCTAGAACACCTTTAATCAAGCAACTGCTCTGGATTAAAATCTTACTATACATTCCCCCTTTGACTGTATAAAATACAAAACCAGCAAAGTATTTTGTCCAAAGCAAAGAGAAGCGCTGCTCCAAAGAGGTGACATTAAATATAAAATACTCCAAAATGATAATGTTCCTTCATTGTGGCAAGTCAGGTCAGTGTCTGACGTTTAGAAATACCAGTTTCAACAGGTAAAAGGGTGGGGAGGGGGGTCTACCATAAGTTGGGCATGTTGCATACAGGGTAGGACGAAAGTAGATTTACAGTTGTCTGTGTGGAAAATAATACAATGATTAATAAATTATAATACAAGAATAAGCTGTTTCGCGTATGCACAACTGTAAACCTACTTTTGCCCCACCCTATATTCATAGAAACAGTGATATGTTGTAATGCAAAATTAATACAAAAGGTAAAGAAATGACTAGAAGAGTTATGTCATTATACTCTTAATGATTTGATACCTTTAAAAATTTAATGATTTAATAAACATTTTTAAAGGACAAGAACACTAGAATTATTTTCTTAAATGAAGAAAAGCTGATGAATGAGTTAAGACAAATTTCAAAGCAAACAGTCAAAAAAAAGTTTAACCTTACTGCTTTGCCCAAAGAGTCAGCTAAGGAACTATGCTCAACAGGTAGCACTAGAATCTCTAAGAAGATACGTGACAATGGCCCCTTCAACCCTACAATCTGGAGGCACCTGGGTCAGGGTTGGTCCCCTACCTTGAGGACAAGAATGTTTGTCTGCCCTCATTCAGCCTAACACTAAGCACTAGTTTGTGGGCAGTAAGGGGTACGTTAGAACATTTCGTCTCAAAATATGTTTTCATGTCACAATAATCTCTGATACAACTGGCCTCAATTCTGGCTTTGCTTCCCCATTAGAATATTATAAAATTAGGTTTGAAAGCATGAATTCTGTCCATAAGTAATCAAATATCTGTACACAAATAGAATTACTTTTATTTTGAAATTTACTTTTGAACATGAACTATAAAACAATCATTATGAACCTTTTGAGTTAAAAATAGTTTATTTGGGAACATCCACAGTTCTAAGTCCATAAAATTAGCAATATGTCTTATTAATCATAAAAATGAAATATGTTTATATAATTTCTTTTTCTATCATTTCGGGCATGACTAAATTGGACATTTTCATTTTTAAGGCACGCAATATTTGCTTAGAATTTTATTATCTCCTGGGATGTACTTAACTTATTAAGCCGCACAGAATTCACCCTTGTGAACACTAGAATATTCTGAATAGAAGCAACTCTAAAGTTATTTTTTAAATAAATAACATCCTCCTAATAAGTCAAGGTTAATTTAGTTTAATATTTGACGATTAAAACTACAACACAAACTGTTTCAACACCGACCTCTGTGAAGTTCACATTTCTCAAGTACAAATGGAGCACAAAAGCAATTCATCTGTGTATAAAAACACTTTTATTGTGTTCCCGGAAGGCTGTCCTTTACAAAGACATAGCTCTAAACAGCGCTTATGGAACAAGCAGCTTTGAAAATGTAAAAACCCTACAATGGCACACTTTTTTAGGGGGAAATGGAATTCTAAAAGGGCATTTCAAAGGCTGGTAATACCATAGTTACTTAAGAAGCATTCAATGTTCTCTCCTTGGAGCCTTTCTTTTAATTGGGTTGCCCACTCAGTTCTTTTGTGTGTAATCCTGGAAAGCTCGCGTGGGGGAGGAATCCTATACACCCCATGGCCAAGTGCGCGCGAGGAGGAGAGTTCTCACCGTTGTATTCCTTGGTCTCATTTTCACGGACACCGTGGCTCCGCGGAAGCACACGCGCACATATCCCAGGGGACTTAAATCATTCATGAGCTGATAACATTTGAGATGTCAGACACAATTGAAATTCCAAGAACAGGGAAGAGCAAGAACGATGAATCGGCACCACGTGGGCAAGGGAAGGGCTGCAAAGGTCAAGTTCCTGAAATGGTTCTCCCCCCTAGCTCTAGCTCTGCACCTCCTTTCTTGGCTGATGGCTGTGCAGATGACAGATGGGAGCACCGCGTCCGGGCTGCCAGAAGCCAGGGGCCTCCTTCCTGGACGACTGCAGCTCTTCACGTGGCTTCTTCCTTATCTCCTGGGAAAGAATGAGGCGCATTCTTCTACCCTAGAGCAGCTCCTGAAACCCTGCTGAGGGTTGCGCCCCCATCCTCCGGCGCCAGGCTGGGGGAGGGGCTTTGTGGTCACCCCTCTTCTCCAGATCTGAAGTTCCAGAATGGGTCCCTCGTGCCCTTGGGGGACAATCAGCACATTGAACATTGAAATCCAGCCCAGGCAGCACAGAAAGGCAAGTTGGCTTTCCCCTGCTTCCAACACCCCAACTCCTCCCCACCAAGGGACTTCTGGGTGCCTGAAGATCCTTCCTCTTCCAGGGACCTCAGTTCAGGTTAATGAAGCTACGATTGTCTCCCTTTTTCTTAGTGATAAAATGAACGAGGTGCGCCCTCCTTTTCCCCTGTCCAGGTTTAGTATTCCTCCATTCCGATGTGAACTCAAGGAATGTTCTCGTCCAAGGCCGCTTCGCCCCAGGATTCCGGAGTTTTCCCAACAGGAACTTCGAGAACAGTGAGGTAGACAGACATCTCAGCAACCCCCAAAACGGACACTTCCACCCCCAGCTGGCGTTTCCCTTCTCCTTCCACCGGCGGCTCGGGTCAGGCTCCGGTGCCCACCTCCACCTCCGGGACTTCCTGCAAGTCACCCCGACCCCCAGGTCTGGCAGCTCTCTTCCCAGGTGCCGCCCCTCCTCTCCTGCCTCCTCCTGGCCACACCCCAGGTCCTCCTGCACCCCTTGACCATCCACGCGTCCTTCTTACCTCCTAGTCTGGTCAAGAGAAGTTCTGAACCACCCGGGTCTATATTGTTTCAGTCCTGAGTCAGGCAGAGCATTTAAAAACACACACACAAATAAAACCTATGAAAAGGTCTCTAGAAACTTTGCTGTCTCAAATGCTCTGGTGCCGGCTGCCGCGAGCACACACCTGCCTGCCCGGGCGCAGGAGCGGGGTCCGGGTGCACACGGGACCAGGGGGCCAGACAGCGGGCAACTGCGCAGGGACAGTCCACTCGCCGGCCGTCACCGGCGGGGACTCGCGGTGCTGCTTGGGCATCAAGACAATTTTGAAATGGGCTTGGGAAGCGGGGGCTAGAAAACGGTGATTCTAAACACACACACCGGTGGGTCTGTCCGCCTCCTGCCACTGAGCAGTGCTACCGGACAGGCTACACTGTTGAGAGCAGACCAGGGTGGTTGCACGGTGTATAAACTGTCCTCCGAGGCACATTCATCTCGGACCTGACAGTCCCTGTCGTCTACACGACTTCTCAGTCTGGATCCAAACCAGCCCCACGTTCAGGGTGAAGGGGACCAAGGCGCTCCTGGAGCCCTCAGCCCCCCACTCCCCACCCCCCAACACACCCATGCAGACCCCCGAGGCAGGTGCGGCCCCCGGATCTCCGAGCAACAAGCGCGCCGTCTTCGGGAGGCCGGGCCCCGCGCTGCCCCGGTCCCCGCGCGGGTCACCTCTCCCCGCCCCCCACTCAGCCAGCCGCGCCTGGCGGGCGCAGGGGAAGGAGAAAGCCCAGCTAGCCACTCACCCCCAGCTTCCTGCTGCGGATTTTCACGTAGCCCTGCTTGACTATGTCGTTAAAGTTGGAGGCCATGCCAGCGCGCTCGGCTTCCGCGAGTCCAGAGCCGCCGTCCGCAGCCAAGTCCGCGCAGGTCCCGCATCCAGCCAGCCGCCTCCAGCAGCGCGCCTCCGCCCGGTGCCCCCGGCTCCCGCAGGAGGCGGCGCGGGGTGGGCGGCAGGGCGGCCCGCGGGCTGGGACAGGGCCTGGCGCCTCGAGCAGCGAGCAGCGCCCGCCCTCTGCGCGCGGGTCCCCACCTTCGCCCCCGCCACCCCTGCAGCTCCCACGGGCGGGCGCCTCACTCGGTGGCGCACCGCTGGCCGCAGCGCACCATCGAGGCTCCTGGGCTCAGGGGGAGGGGAGGGGCGGGGGGCGGGCTGATTCGCCCGCGTGGCTCCCTCCCCCCAGCCTGCGGGGTGGCTGGGCTCCGAGAGGCTGGCCAGACGCCCTCCACCACTCCCGCCCCCGGCGCCCCGGGCGCTCCCACTCAGCGCCCCGGCCCACAGCGCTCCCAGATTCCTGAGGACAAGCTCCTCATTCCGGGCTCAGGATCTCCACTCCCAAGTGGACCCCAGGAAAGGGTGGCAGGGATGCTTCCAAGGAAAAAAGCAAGTGGGAGCGAGGAAATTGTGTATGGCAAAGGCCGTGTTTACAGTGCATTTTTATTGCTGGGCACAGGCTCGCTGGCCAGGTCTTTGCCCCGTTAGGAAGTGTGGATCCAAGCCAAGCCCTTCCCGGTGCACACAAAGAGACCAATCGTGCGCATGTGTCTAATCCCTCTGCTACTGGAGACGTGAAGCACTCTGGCGAGGCAGCCGGTTGCCCGCCTCCTTCCCATCGAGCAGCCAGGGTCGGAGTGGATGGATTGATGCACGCGTTTTGGTTAACTATGACCGAAAGTGGATCCTGGCTTTGCATCTTTTAGGGGAAACGGGGACCATAGCTGTTACCTGGAAGCAAGTGATTTATGGAAACGATCAACTTGTAAAAACAAGGAAGAACTTTCTCCCCTTAATGTAGGAACACATTACGTTTTAAAATAGACTATTCTCTATGGTTTAGAAATTGTAATTTAAAATGTTACCATTTTTATAAGATTCAAGGAAAAAATAGGAAGCATTGAATTTTGGCTGGGGGTAATATATGGATTTTTACTATGGGAATATAAGAATATAAGAATAGTTAGTGTCTTGGTAGTTTAGGATTTTTCTAATTAAGAAAAAATGTAAAAGATTTAAAATTTTATAGCTGACTCCTTTATTTATAGAATCCATATTTAGTAAAAGTTCAAAAGATCATGTTTATTTCTGCTCATTATAGGGATCAGCATTTTTCCATGTTTTCCAGTTAAAATGTCTTAGCCCTATTGGGAACACAATAATATTAAGAGAGAAAGGAAATTATTTCATTGAGGAGAAAAAAAAACACAATATGAAAGCTAAAATAACAAAATAGGATGTCCCTGACCCTAACCACATTGACACCTCAGGGTGATTTTTGTCCCATCATTATTAAGAGGCTCCATCTAGGGCCCACATAACCTAACAGGAACTCTAACTTGCCTTATCAGCATACTATTCCTTTTCATTCATTTATGCAGCAGACTTTTGTTTGGTCTATCAAGCATGCAGAGCACCAGATGCTGGGGCATATACTTAAAATCACATGGCAAGATTCCTTAGGCTGTCCCTCTGGAAGGAGCTCAAACTCTGACCTTCCCAGAAAACCTGCATAAACTCCATTGAACTCAATGGGATTCCTTCTTCTAAATACCTGGGCATGTTCCACTCATTTGTTACTATTACATACACCACGTGGCTATTATTCTTTTGTTTATATGGAGACTTTTATATTTTCAGATGCTTTAAATGCATTATTTCATTCAGTCTGCTTTGAAATTCCATGTGTTACGCAAAATTTACTTGCCATGTGTAATAGATGAGGAAACAGTCTCAGAGCCCTCAATTGCAGGGCCATTATTTCAAGATTGGTTTTGGGTCTACAATAATTTCCAATTCCACCATTATTTCCACAAATCAATTGTAAAATATTTGAAGTCGGGGATTAATCTTGTCTCAATAGCAATCTTAGTACTTACTTAAGGGTGAAGTATGGCTTGTAAGTCTGGTTTTTAATAAATACATAATGGTTATGCCTTTGCACATGTGCTTGTGTAGGTCTTTTAACCCCCTAATATGATTTAAATATGATGCTTAAATTTCTGATATAGCAATTTGTGTGTGTGTGCCTATAATAAGTACCCTCTCCCTCTTATTCTGTTTGTTTGCCACTTTAACACGAGGTTATTTGTCGTATAAATTAGTGTGAAATGTCAGATGCGAAGCCGCGACCGGCACAGCTAGGGTTCAAGGTCTGGAGAAGGGGCCACACACAAATGGATATACTAGACAAGAAATGTAAATTTAGAAGGCATCGGGGGAGCCAGGTGGAGACCTTACTCTCTAGCAGAGAGGTTCCCTGAATGCCTGGACCCAATGGCTTTCTATTTACTAGAACACACATTTGTCCTTTAGCAAAGCAAACAGACATATCAATAGTAAGGTTTGGTAAACAATAAAGGATTATCAGGTTAGGGGATTGCCTTCAGCCATTCATCCAGCAGCAGGGTAATACAATGCTGATTTTCAGCCCTTGCTGAATATCAAAGTCCATTAGCCCTTTAACGGATTTCTCGCATAATTATGCTAACTACTTGTTGGTCTTAGCCTCTGGCAAATTAGGTTGATTGTATCCTCATTATACCATTTACTGTGGTCAACTAAGCCTCCAACTTTCTGCTAACTAGAAATGTGACTTAGAAATTTAAGTACATTCTTTTTTTCTTTCCAAGAATAATTTTATAAGAAAAAAACATGTGACAAAATCAAGCACCCATTTATGATAAAAACTCTCAGCAAAGTAGAAATAGAGGGAACATAGCTCTACATAATAAAGGCCAGTTATAACAAACCCAAGCTAACATTATACTCAACAGTGAAAAGTTAAAAGCATTTTCCTTAAGATCTCAAACAAGAAAAGAATGTCCACTTTCACCATTATTATTCAGCATGGTATTGGAAGTCTTAGTGACAGCAATCAGACAAGAAAAAGAAAGAAAAGGCATCCAAATTGGAAAGAAAGAAATAAAACTGTCATCATTTGCAGATGACATGATGTTCTATATAGACAAGCCTAAAAAATTCACCTAAAAGTATTAAAATTGAGAAATTCATTTAGAAAAGTAGCAGAATACAAAATTAATATTCAGAAATTGGTTGCATTTTTACACCAATAACAAACTATCAGAGAAATTAAGAAAACAATACAATTTATAATTGAATAAAAGAATACCTAAGAATAAATTTAACAAAGGAAGTACAAAACTCAGAAAATTATAAAACATTGAAGGTATTGAAGAAGATACAAATAAATTGAAGCATAAACCATGCTCATGGATAGGAAAATTAACATTGTTAAAATGTTCATACTACCCCAAACAATCTATACATTCAATGCAATCCCTGTCAAAATACCAATGACATTTTTCATAAAAATAGAACAATCTTAAAATTTGTATGGAACCACAAAAAACAACAATACCCAAATAGTTAAAGCAATCTTGAGAAAGAAGGATATGAAACCATACTACAAGACCATAGTAATCAAAACAACATGGTACTGGCATAAGAACACACACAGATCAATGGAACGATAGACGGTCCAAAAATAAACCCATGACTATGTGATCAATTAATTTGACAAATGAGGCAAGAATATACAATGGGGTAAAAACAGTCTTTTGAATAAATGGTGTTAGGAAAATTGAACAGATGCATGTAAAAACAAACAAACACATGAAACTAGACCACTTTCTTACACTAGATATAGAAATAACCTCAAAATGAATCAAAGAGTTAAATGTCAGAGCTGAAACCATAAAAATCCTAGAAGAAAACATGGTAGTAAACTATTTGACATTGTTCTTAATTAAATATATATATATATGTAATAAAGATATTTGAATATATCTTTTACGGCAATGGAAACAATAGAAAAAATTAACAAATGGGACTACATCAAATGAAAGCAATCAACAAAACAAAATGATAACCTACTATATGGGAATATATTTGCCAATGATACATCTGATACGGGGTTAACACCCAAAATTCATACAATTTCACACACACACACACACACACACACACACACACACACACCACAGATAATCTGATTTAAAAATGGGTAGAGGACCTGAATAGATATTTCTCAAACAGGACATACAGATGGCCAATAGACATTGGAAAAATACTCAATGTAACTAGTCATCAGAAAAATGCAAATTAAATCACAATGAGATACTACCTCACACCTGTCAGAATGGCTATCTATATATTTAAAAGCCTAAGTGACCGTCCGACCATTCGACCGTCTAACCGGTAGCTATGACACGCAATGATCACCAAGGGGCAGACATTCCGACTAGTAGCTATGATGTGCACTGACCACCAGGGGGCAGACGGTCAACACAGGAGCTGCTGAGCTGCGGTGACTTGGCAGCTGCAGTTCTCAGGTGACACACCTGGAACCAGAGAGTAAGGAGCCTGATTCCAGGTGCATCACCCGAGAACCGCCCTCTTGCAATCCGGGATCCTCGGGGGGATGTCAGAAAGCTTGTTAGGCCTGATCCCCTCAGGCCAGGACGAGGGTCCCTACCAGTGCATGAATCTGTGCACCAGGCCTCTAGTCATTAATAAATCAACAAACAACAAGTGTTGGGGAGGATGTGGAGAAAAGAGAACCCTCATACACTGTTGGTTGGAATGCAGATTGGTGCAGCCACTGTGGAAAGCAGTGTGGAGTCATCTAAAAAAATAAATATGGAACTACTATAGGACGCAGCAATCCCACTCTGGGTATTTATCTGAAAAAAATCCAAAACATTAATTCAAAAATATATATGCACCCCTATGTTCATTACAGCATTATTTACAATAACCAAGATATAGAAGCAACCCAAGTGTCCATTGATAGATGACTGGATAAAGAAAAAGTGGTACATATATGCAATGGAATATTATTCCACCTAAAAAAAATGAAAT